CACCACTAGAGTAGGCCTACCTCAAGCTACAATGTGGGCTGGGTTTCTATATAGAATTGCTGAATGGTGGCTTTGCATGGACACTGAGGTCGGGTATGCATCTAGGATGGAAGAAGTGATGAAAATGAAAACGAAGAGTTAAGGTGATGGGGAGATAGGCTTAGTTTGGACTCCAGGATGTGAAGGAGAAGTCAGCTACAAACAGAAGAAGCTGTACCTGACTATCATTGTGTTCTGAATTCAAAACCAGAAATAGCTGTGACAGTGCAACTGAGCAGGGGAGGGGCAGAGGGAGAGGGAAACTCAAGCTGCCCCTCACTGCCCCCGTACCCCCCCCACCACTGAGCATAGAGTCCATCATGGGGCTCCATCTTGTGACCCCAAGATCATGACCTCAGCCGAAATCAAGAGTAAGACGCTTAACCGACTGAGCTACCCAGGCGCCCCTTGAAGCAGATTTTTGAAAAGAAGGCTGTGACTTCACTTGTAATGAAGCCAAGTTAATTATTTTCTTAGGTCTCAGGCCTGACTAACCCAGGGCCAGGACTCGGCCAAAAACTCTTGACCCCCAACACTGGCTACCTCTCTCTAAAGGCTCTGTTTAAATCAAGACAGATTTCTTCCTGTTATTTCAAAGCCCATGCTCTTTTGGCAGAGGGTTGGTAATCTCATACTGTTTTAGAAAATCCACGATGTTACCTGTGGATTTACTTTGTGCTGGTGTGTTAACTTTGTAGGATTTGATTTTTAAATGCTAAATACTTAAAAATACATGTTCTCCTTCCTGTGTTTGAGATGAGGCTTTTAAGGAGTAATCGACACCACAATAAAAGCCAGCGCGGTTCCCTTGTCAATAAAAAAGGGATTTGCGTGAAGTGCTGCTTTTTCATAAGAAGCACTGCATAGAGCATCACTTAGCAACACACAAATCAGCTTTGACACCTAATTCATCTTTAATATTCAGGTTCAAATCAAGTCTTTCCCGTGATGGGACAGATGGAGTCTTTGAAACCAAGCAAGCGAAAGGTGTCACTTTGTAATTTCCATCTTTAGGTTGGCAGCAGCATCAGAATCTTCATTTTGGAATTGGAATTTTTTCAATTTCCAGATCTACATGCTTCAGTGTGCCGTGCAGGGTCCGTCATGGACATGTTGCTGCATGCTTCTGTCATAACCTCTGTTTTTCAGCCAAATCAAATGGCCCATTTTCCCAAACATGCTGCATACTTTGATATCACTATTTCTTCAAGCCTGTGTTATTTCTTTGCTTTGGGAAAATTCTTTGCTGGCTAAGTTCTGCTAATCTTTCTAGCTACTTTTGAATTCTGAGGGACCTTGTCTCTGATTCTTTAAGACTGAGCTAAGGGCAAATCTTGGTCATAGGCGTTAATACTGGATTTCAGTTGTTTGCTTTCCTTATACATAACTGGAACTTTTGAGGGCCAGGAATTCTGTCGTTTATCTGTATATCCCTATCCTTTCTGTATGTTTCATTTATCTGAATTTCTCACTGTCTGTGGCAGAGCTGAGTGTTCTCTCCCTGTGAAACAGTAGTTCTTTATTACTGAGTCTTTTGACCAGAGGCTCAACATATTCATTTATGAATTTAACAGTTATCTTTTGAATTGTTCATGGTGTGTCAAGGACTATGCTGTATGTTTACTTCTATTTTGGAAGGATGTAAGAATCAACCAACAGATAAAGAGCTATACTAGATGTAGCATTAAGTGGAAAAAATCTGGAGGAAACAAAAAAATTAAAGCAAGGATTTCTGAAAATGCAAGGTAGCAGGGAGGCTATACCATGGTTTTATGAAGTTTTTCACAAAGGAAGTTTTTCACACGGATTTTTACAGTTGGTACAGAAAAATTAAAAGTGACTCAGTGATTGGGGTAACCCCATCAATTTATATATCTTAAGCTGAGAAAATATTCCTCAGTGGTTTGCTTCCAAAAAAGTACCTTCTGCCATAATAGAAGGCAGATACCGCCACACTCCCTAGTGAACTGGTACGTGTAGATTTCTGGAGTTTTTATTTTATTCATATCTTTAAAATTTCATCGGCTTTTGTTTTAAAATTTAATCCATTTTAAAACATGCTGGAAATTTATTTATTTAAAAATATTTTATTTATTTATTTGACAGAGAGAGAGAGAGAGAGAGAAGGAACACAAGCAGGGGGAGCAGCAGAGGGAGAGGGAGAAGCAGGCTTCCAGCTGAACAGGGAGCCCGACACAGGGCTCAATCCCAGGACCCTGAGAGCATGACCTTGAGCTGAAGGCAGACACTTAACGACTGAGCCACCCAGGTGCCCCCATGCTAGAAATTTCTTAAGATAATTTAAATGAATTCCAATTTTAGAACAATGCTAGGAGTGTTACATTAGTCTTATATGTGGACAGCATATTATATATCTAAAGCTTCTATACTGTCTGTCTCAGAAATAAGACTAAAAGTGTTCCCTTTTGCTTTATCTAGAAAATACTGAAAAGTAAACAAAAATTAAAAGAAAAAAACACCTCTTATTTGAAAGTGGAGTAGGATATTATATTTATTTTATTTTATTTCTTTTCAGTGTTCCAGCATTCATTGTTTATGCAGCACACCCAGTGCTCCATGCAATACATGCCCTCCTTAACATCCACCACCAAGGTCACCCAAATCCCCACCCCTTCCTCTCCAAAACCCTCAGTTTGTTTCTCAGAGTCCACAGTCTTTCATGGTTTGTCTCCCCCTCTGATTGCCCCCAACTCACTTCTTTGCATCTCCCAATGTCTTCTGTGTTATTCCTTATGCTCCACAAATAAGTGAAACCATATGATAATTGACTTTCTCTGCTTGACTTATTTCACTCAGTGTAATCTCCTCCAGTCCCGTCCATGTTGATACAAAAGTTGAGTATTCATCCTTTCTGATGGAGGCATAATACTCCATTGTATATATGGACCACATCTTCTTTATAGGATATTATATTTTTTAAAAAAGAAAGCTTCCCAACCATCCAGTCCCATCCCACACTGTTAATCTTTGGACACTTAGTAAACTGACTCCTTTCTAAGTGTATTTATAAATACTACTGTTAAAATAATGTAGTGATGTGCTGTCTGCTGTCTTTTATGATAGCAACTTTAAAGGTTCCATTCCATACTAACACTAGCTTTGTTCTGCTTTGATCTATCTATCTATCCATTTATTTATCACTTATTTTTCTTACAAAAGCACATGAATCACATTGTTTTAAAAAAGTCCAAACAGCGTAGACATGCAGTAGAAAGTAAAAGTTTCTTTTTATTCTTGGGAGTAACTGGTCAATATGTTGCTGTATGTTCTAGATAACTAAACTTTTGGTTAAATTATACTTTTTTAATACAAAAAATGACATCATACCTTCCATTCTGTCACTTATATTTTTCTTTCACGAATGCTTTATTTCATATCTGCTCTTCTGTTCTTTATTACTATGTGGAGGTCCAGCCCAGGGCTTTTTATTGGCTGTATAATATTTCACAGGGTGCATGAACTCTTAATAAGCTTGTTAGTCCATTCTGTATATCCAGTTTTTTTTTTTTTAATTACAAATAACACTGCACTAAGCATTTTGTATCTTGTATACGAGGATGTAGCTATAGGGTGATACCTGCGTGGATATGCTTGGTTGGAGGCATTGCACATGTAAAATTTTGCTGTATAACTTAAAACTTAAACTTTTCTTAAAGACTTTCAGCAGTATTTAATCATAAACAAAAATTCTGATTTGTGAGTAAACTCTTTTAAAAAGGAACGGTGGATTCCTTTCTTGAGGGTCCAGTGAGAGTACAGTTCAGGGAGGATATTTTGTCATGGTTTTTCTCTTCGTGTTTTTGCCCGAATGTTATTTGGAATCTTTGAGAGAAAATACTCCTTGGTCTTTCTATTGCCTCAGAAAATAAATCTATGTTCTTATTGGTAGCATCTCCTTGATAATGCTATTATTTCCCTGGATGTTGATATTCCTTATGATGAGTCATAAGTTTAGCTTAATTCTCTTTTGTCCAGTAAGATGTAGAATAGAATGAAAACTATCTAATGGGTAGTTTATCTTAAAAGAAATGGAGGAAGGTGACTCTAACAATAAAAATTTTAAACCCAGACTGTCATTTTTGTTTACGTATCTTAAGTTCTTTTCCTATAACCTTGAAAACAGTTAAAATTGTACCTTATTTTATAAAAGAAAACTTACCGATGATGCACATTTTCTGGTTCTTCAAGGATAATCTAATTGAGGCTCTATACCTCGCTTTTGGGTGTTAAGAGTGGGTTTCTAGGGGCACCTGGGTGGCTCAATGGGTTAAACCTCTGCCTTCGACTCAGGTCATGATCTCAGGGTTCTGAGATCGAGCCTCAGCAGGGAGCCTGCTTCCCTCTCTCTCTGCCTGCCTCTCTGCCTACTTGTGATCTCTCTCTCTCTCTGTCAAATAAATAAATAAAATCTTAAAAAAAAAAAAAGTGGATTTCAAAAGTTGTGTGTTTTTTCATGCTGCCACACACAATTAAGAATTTCATAGTCTTTCGGGTACTCTCTGTTTGATTCCAGTTTCTTCACCTGCATCTTTGAGTCCAGTTCACTCCGGCTGTTTTTATAGACATCTCAAATTGCCACTTGAGAATTATCTTACAGATTTCAGATTCATGTGTAAAAGGCAAATGGGCTCACAGTCTTTTTTTGTTATTGCTGTTGTAAGCATCTAAAAACCTCAATAGGCAACTCATGTATGGTTATGTAGACATATATTGGAAGCTATATTTGTTTCATATAGCACTTTAATTTATTTAATTTAATTCATATAACTTAATTCTGAGTTTCAGAAAATGACTTTAAAAAAAATCTCAGATTTCAAAATCTTTCTAGTGTGACTTGTAAAGGTTTATCTGCTAATCTTTTTATCTCTAAGATACTATACTAATGAGGAGATGATAGTAATTTATTTTACAGATTATTTTGTTTTCTCTCCTTTTTCCAGAAAACAGGCATCGTTATGGGTCCAAGGAGACATTTTCCGATCCAAGCTGAAAAATAGACCATCCAGTGAAGGAAATATTAATAAAATTCTTTCTAGCTTGGATGATATGTCTATAGGTGGAAACTTATCTAAAATACAAAACGTGGACAGATTTGGAGAGGTGAGTTTTCCTCAGGAAGATTTTCGTGCCTCCTTAGGACTAAAGTTCTGTATTTCTTTGTTTCCCAGCTGAACATATATCACATAGCAATACCTCTTTCCTGAAATGCTCAGAGTACCAATATTTTTAGGTGTAGAGTCTTCTACCTTTAAAACAAGAATCCAGAGCAAAGAAAGCAATTATCCTTAGAAATAAAAAAGCTGTAATTTAAGGAGCACAGTTATAAAGGAGGCCATGCTGGTTTGGAGACTATGTACAAAAAGGAGACACAATAACAAATTTTCTATTTGAAGATGGAAGTGGATATAAAGAAGAAAGAATTAATGTGGCAATTGAAGACACAGCATATGCCACAAGTGGTTTTTCGAAAGTCTCAAATTCATACTGATTTCTAAAATCCAGAGTTGCAAATATCATTAGGAGCAAATTTTTTTTTTTAATGTGACTCTATTATAAACAAACCATTTTAAACAGCTGACGTCTGTGGTCCCATTTCATCTTTACAACTAGCTAGCGATAGGAAAAATCAGCAATATTACCTAGGCAATATGATCTCTAGAACAAGGAAATTGAATGTCAGAAGTTCTAACTTTGGTGCTTCCAATCCACATCTATCTGATTCGGAGTCTGTGTTTTTTCTGTTATACCCTGCTACCTAAAAATGGAAGTGACTTATAACAGGTAGGATCCTGGGCATTTTTGGAGCTGGAAGCAACATTGAAATCATTTGTTCTACTTCCCCTTGTGTGTGGATCCGAAGCCAGGGGTCCCACTGAATCCCATGACTTGCTTAAGGTCACGGAGTTGTTTAGTAGTGAGACCACCTTGAGACTGGGAATCTCCCTCCTGGTTTAGCTCTTTCTACCACAGGATGAAACTAAGCACTTGGTTTGTAGTTATATTTTTATATCCCTGAGGGAGCAAAAAGAGCTGTTGAAAATATTTAAGCAGTGGGGCATCTGGGTAGCTCAGTTGATTAAGTGTCCAACTCTTGGTTTCAGCTCAGGTCATGATCTAGGGGTCGTGGGGTCGAGCCCCATGTCAGGCTTCCTGCACAGTGGGGTGTCTGCTTGAGATTCTCTTCCTCTCCCTCTGCATCTCCCCCCACTCAAATAAATAAATCTTAAAAAAATATTTAGGCAGCAAGTGTGGATTTGCATTCTATTAGGCAGTGACCTGTTGGAGCTGGACAAGGGTCTTGAGCAAAATACTATGGTTCAAGTTTGGCCCTCAGGGAACCCAGAATGGAAGGGATGCATCTTAGCTGCTTTAGGTCAACAAATGGCATGCCAAACAGAGTGCTTGGCAATAGGGAGAGTAGGCTTCCTTCAAGGACACAGGATGGAGACTGCCAGAAGAACCAATTTTTCAACCCTGTGGTCTCTAGTCCAGGACAGACATTGAAGAAGTGGCTAAGTTTACTTGTGTGAATCATCTGTCCTGACAAAATGTAAATCTTAGTCAAGGTCATGTTGATGTTCAGAGCCCTTGTTGACTTTTTCTTGTCTCTGTGTTGTAGTCTGGCCTATTCAAAGCAAACAAAAGGATCTGAACTGACATTTTAATGTGATAATATAGCAAAACAAGAATGCTTTCCTTGCTCTGGTCAGCATTTCCTTCTTCGGTTTGTTCAAGTAAACAGTGCTTTGAATTATGACCTCTGCAAAGATACACATACAATCTATCCATCTGGGAAACATATTTATTTTATAGGAATATAATGTTTTCTATATCATAATCCCCATTAAACTAACATCTAATAGTTAGAACATTTTGTTCTCATGCTTTTTTAGATCTCAATTTGTTGAATTTAAGACTAACATTTATTTATCACTGAAGAATGAAATACGAAATTTAAAGTAAGTCAGCTTTAAATATGAGCATGTGTTCAGATACTGGGCTGTTTCTCTTCCTCTTTCTTATTCCTTGCAATCCCAGATTAATTACTTTAGCTCTAGCCATTCAGAAGTGGTATGATTTTTGAAATTAGAGCACAGAAATGCAGGAATTCAGAAATACCACAGAAAAATGGTGTGGTTAAGATTTCAGACAGTGACATATATATATAAATAGGTTTTGGACCACTTTATAGTTAGGTGAGATGCATTGCATAAATAACACTTTTAAGCCCTTTTCTTGCCATTTTTATCTGGTGCTGGCTCCAGAACAGTACATGAATATGGGGAATTAGTTTACTCAAAAGTGAATGTAATAGAGGTAGTAACATCTTTGTCATTCTTGTGAATTCCAAGTGGGAAAAGAAGTTGAGAATGCTGCAAGGATTTTAATATTTTCAAGTTCCAGACCAATGTTCAGGATAGAAGCCCATGGAAATTCTGGGTTTATTAGTTTGTACATAAAGTGCAAAAAGGGGAGGTTGCTTCCCCCCCCTTTTTATAAGTAATGTCAAATTGAAAATGAGATACTAAATTATTTTTCTGATTCCCAGGCCTATAGGGATTTTCCTGGGGTTGGTTGTTAGGAATCTCTATAATTACCTGATTGGGAAGGTTTGACTATGTAGTTTTTCAGTGCCCAAGAGGTGGGCAAATAGGCAAAAAGGATCAACCAGAGGGATTTAGGCCACGGGAATGGGTGAGGCTGCAGCTGTAATGAATTCTCTTTGCCTACTTAGAGTTATGAAAAATCTTTTAAAAATAGAGGCTTTACCTTGATTGAATCTGGTCTTCAGTGCTGGGCTAGGCACTGTGAAATACACCCAACCCATCCTATGGGGATGGGTTAGGCTCTAGGTTAGGCTCCCTCCTCGGTGCTCCTGCCTTGCACTGTATTTTTCCTCCACGGTCCTTACATCTCCTCCCTGGCCTGGTGATACTCATTTTGTGAAGATTGAGGCTTCTGTCTGCCCACAGGGCCTTCGTAAATGGTGCTTGAAAGAATGAAGAAGGCTTATGGTTTCATCAAAAACAAACAAGAAAACAGACATGAAATTGATAATAATCCAAGCTATCCAAAGGTAGTCTGTGTGCAAATACAACATAGTACCAGCAATAAGTGCTCACTTAGACATGCCAGGGCCCAAGGGTCCATCATGCATCGGGGTTATTAAAAAATGGTTTTAAGAAGATGGAATTTAAAACACTTTATTTAAGGGATCCGTACTTAAGGAGTTAAGTGAGGAGCTTAGAATGTAACAACCACCTAAATAACACCTATTATGTGCCAGGCACTGTTCTAGGCACTTTACATGGATTCATTCTTTTTTTCTTCTTTTAAGATTTTATTCATTCGTTTGAGAGAGAGGATGAGCTGGGAGAAGGGGATTGGGAGGAGCAGAGGGAAAGGGAGACGCAGACTTCCTGATGACCAGGGAGCCTGACCAGGACCCTGAGATCATGACTTGAGCTGAAGACAGATACTTAACCCGACTGAGCCACCCAGGCATCCCCTACATGGGTTAACTCTTAATTCTTATAACAGCTATATGAAATAGGAATTGTTACTAGGCCCCCTTTAACAGATGGCATGACTGAGGTAGAGAAAGTCAAACTGTCTCTCCCAAGATCCCAGAGTACACAGTAGAGCTCTCAGTTAGGCGTAGGCGCTCTGGCTTCAGAGTCTCCTCTCAGCCACCCACCTGAGGCCCCTCTCCATACCCTGCTGCCTCTCTATGTGGTCCTAAGTGTGGCTTTAGTGTATTATATCAGTCAGTTTGGACAGAACTTTAGCTAGTCTGTCGCAGTAGATTTCTCCTGGAATTGTGATTATTGTTAACTTTTCCTTCTCCGGGATGATAATACAATAGCAGCATACCAATCAATCAGATGCTCTTGACTTAGAGATATTAATTAGGTACAGGTGCTGCCCGTTCCACCAAGATCATGTAAATTGACAGGTAAATAAGAATATCATGTTTTAGTTAATTATTTAATTAATAATGTTTAAAGATCTTGTTTTTAAGCAATCTCTATACCCAGCATGGAATTCAAACTCACAACCCCGAGATCAAGAGTCTTGTACTCCACCGACTGAACCAGCTAGGTGCTCCAAGAATGTAGCGTTTTAATCACGTCACGGAGATACTGTGATTTATAAAATCCTTTGCTCTTTTATACCAAATGCCCATGTATAGGGTGTATCTTAGAAAAATAAAATCCATGAAGTAAAAAATTAACTCTCTAAGACTCTTCTTTCAAGCACTGTTCTTTCCACTCTTGGGACCACTATGGCATTCCAGTCCCATTCTGAATGCCACTGGGATTCGGGAGAGTAGTTCTAGGACAGGAGAGTGACAGTACAACAGAGAGCCAGAGTTTGGGCAGACTTCCCTGGCTGTGAAGGAAAGGGGTGCTGGGGTCTGTGTGGCCAGGGATGGGAGAGCAGGAAGTTGGTGAAGGGGGAGTGGTCCCAGGGGATAAAGGTCTCAACAGTGGCCGCCAAGGAAGGAAAGAAGGCAGACTCGGGGGCTCTGATAAATCCAAACTTTATATGATCAGAAACAGCTTGTTATGAGATGATATCTTTGCCTTTCCTCAGCTTTTACATCTCACAGTTTCAGCATCTGAGAGCTGAAAGAGTTTTGGAGATGACCCAGCCACCTTTCCCAGCCAAATCACTTAAACCTACTGAAAATCCATTATCATCTTCCTCTTCCAATCCTTTCACTTCTATTTTTACTCATTTCTATTTCAAACTCTCTTTTTATGTCATTTTTCTATTATAACTCTTCCGTCTTTTTTCCCTAGTGTGCTATATTTTGTCTAATAGATTTTTTTCTTAATGGCACACACCACTGCCTCCCCAGTGACTTACTCTGTCACCATCGGATTAATGCCTTGGTCAGTCATTACTTTTCCTACTGAAACCTATGCACACATCTTATTTTCTTTTTCATCTTGTCTATATTTAGAGAACAACCGATGGCATAAAATAAATCTTTCTAGTTTACAATTATTATTTGTTCTTTAGCTAGACCATCATCTATAAATAAGTACATCTTTTGAAATGGTCTTTCTTTATGTATTTTAGTTTGCTCTCAT